AATCCTTTTATGCCAGACTGTATGACATGAAGCCCACAGACAGCGCAGCCTTCCAGTCATTCCTGTCCTCTATCGCAGAGGTCTTAGACAACAGCACGCTGGAGAGGCTGGCCAGCCGTTATCTCTGGATGAGCTGACCAAGACCCTCGTGCCCTTAGAAAAGAATAAAACTCTCAGAAGCAATAGCTTATCAGCCAAGTTGTATTCAGCTCAGTGGGACTGGGTTGGCCAGGACCTACTGGAGTTGTGCAACAGTATGCTTCCAGCAGGTAGCATGGGCAAATCCATGAGGAAAGGTATCATCACCATTATCTACAAGCAGAAGGGGGGGTCAGGGAAGAAATTAGAAATTGGTGACCAATTTCACTGATGAATGCAGACTACAAAATTCTGTCTAAGGTCATCATTCCACAACCAGGGGTCACAATATGAGGATTCCAGAACCAGGGGTAACAGCATGAGGATTTGGGGTAGACAAGTTAGGACAGAGGTAAGGAGACATTTCTTCACCCAAAGAGTGGTGAGCCTGTGGAATTCATTACCACAGGAAGTAGTTGATGCCAAAACATTGAACGCATTCAAGAGATATAGCACTTGGGGCGAATGGGATCAAAGGTTAGGGGGTGAAAGTAGGATTAGGCTATTGAATTGGACGATCAGCCATCGTTGTGATGAATGGTGGAGCAGGCAAGGGCCAAATGGCCTCCTCCTGCTCCTATCTTCTATGTTTCTATGTTATATCGATAACTGGTCAGGTCTCCTCTTGGACCAGTGATTGATCCTGACCAAACCTCAGCTGTACCGAGCAGGACGATCTCTGAGAGCCTCACACTCCTCAGGGATACAATCACCTATGTGTGGGACAGACAGGTGGAAGCCTACCTCATCAGCCTAGACCAGGAGAAGGCCCTTGACAGGATATCGCACACGTACATGTGGGACATGATCTCCAAAATGGGCTTTGGGTAGGGAATCTGCAATTGGATCTGACCCCTCTACAACAACATCATTAGTGCAGTCTCAATCAATGGGTGGGATTTAGAAAGCTTCCCGATCAGATCTGAAGTCGGGCAGGGCTGCCCACTCTCTCCTGCCTTGTTTGAGTGCGGTATTGAGCCTTTCACTGAGTCCATCAGGAAGGATGCGAGCCTGAGATGGGTGGCTATTCCAGGAAGTGGAGGTCTGCAGGTCAAAGCCCCCTTGTACATGGATGACATCGCTGTCTTCTGCTCAGATCCACTGTCAGTGCACAGACTCATGAGCATCTATGACCAGTTTGAACTTGCTTTGGGAGCCACGGTAAATCGAGGTAAAAGCAAGGCCATGTTCTTTGGGAACTGGGTCAGCCAATCCTTCACGCCCTTCACCATCAGGACAGATTATCTGAAGGTGCTGGCAATGTGATTCAAAGGGGCCGGGGCATGCACAAAAACTTGCGAGGAGCGTATGGGCAAAGTGAGACAGAAACTGGCCTTTTGGGAACACTGCTCCCTCTCCATTGCTGGTAAAAACATAATCATTAGGTGTGAGGTATTCTCTCTGTTGTTGTACATGGCACAGGTCTGGCCTATTCCCAGAACCTGCACCTTTGCCATCACCCGAACCATCTTCCACTACAAATGGAGATCTAAGATGGATTGTGTCTGCAGGGACACCATCTACAAAACTCTGGATAAGGAGGGGGAAGAACATACCCAATGCCAGCCTCATCCTGATGGCCACCTTTGTGTGTGGCATGTATCAAGCTGTGCATAGACCCTCAGTTTGCAAACACAATGTCACTCCATACTAAGGTTCTACATGTCCCCAGTGTTGCAAAGGATGGGTCTGGCCTCATTGTCACTGAATCCTCCAAGTAGTTGGACCATTCCTTATCACCTGTTCTTCGTGGAGAAATTTGCAAAGAAAAACAGCTTTGACCACAAGTCCATCAGGAAGTGGTCAGCACATGGCATCCTCGAGACTTTGCAGGAACAGGAGAGGGTGGATCCTGTCACATGTTTCCCCAAGCAAACTGTCAAAGTCATTTGGCAGAATGCCTTATCACCAGAACTTTCCAACAAGCACCAAGAGTTTGTTTGGCTGGTGGTGAGAAGGGCATATACTGTGAGATCCTCCTTGTATGCCCCATCTGTCTGTGCCACTGCACATTGCCCTCGAAGTGGCTGCGGGGTGTGGGGTAGAGACTGTCACACATCTCCTGCTGGAATATGCCTTTGCAAAGGAAGACTGGAGAGAGATGCAATGGGTTTTGTCGAGCTGCTCCGTGACACAGGAGTCTGTGCTGGTCTCAGGACGCACACCAAGACAAACATCGACTGCGCCTGAAGGACCATCAACTCAGTGAAAGATGCTCTTTAGTCTGCTCAAAATTTCCAGAGCAAAGAATTGACCTCAACCGAGTGTTGCAGACTGGCACATTCCAAAGTCCAGGACTACGTGCTGCGGGATGCACTAAAGCTTGGGGCAGCTGCTGATGTATCCTTTCCTTCAGAACTTCTTTGAGGATTATAAATGAATAGTAAGTTGTTTTTATTTTCAGGCACCTAGTCTAGGATCTAGGATGAAATGATTAGCTTTTTCTTTTTCTTTTTAAAATCATTTCACATCTACAACAAAATGTGTCATCTAGAATATGACATCCGGGATATGTTACCAAGTATGTGACATCTTAAGGCAACATCTAGAACATGAGATTTAGAGTGTGTCTGGAATGGCCCAAGTGCTGGAAAGTGGGAGCAATGCAAATTTAAAGTAGTTTTTTGTCTGTGCAGACACAATAGGCCAAAGGACCTCTACTGTACTGTATGATTCTATGATGCAATGTGTTACCTGCTCCTAACAATTATACTGTTTTAACACTTTGGTCTCCATGGTATCCAACTGTTTGCTCCAAATGTTTGAATATATTCCTCACACTCCAAACGTCACAAACCTACCATTACCAGGATCTGTATTACAATGACGTTAAAGAGTTGGGGCTAGATGAGCTGGTAAACACTGCAAATGTGCTCCAGACCAATATTTACTAGATATCTGCATGAAGGACAACAACAGCTTATATTCTTGCAATGCCTTCAGGTAATAAAAAATCTTAAGGCTCTTCTCAAAAGCATTATAAATCAAATTATGACTGTGACAAGCAAGGATTTATTAAGTAAGTTGACCAAATGACCTCAGTTACGAGTGGTGTACCACAAGGATCTGTTCTGGGTCCTCTTCTATTTGTGATTTTTATAAGTGATTTAGATGAAGGAATGGAAGGGTAGATTAGCAAGTTCGCGAATGATACAAAGGTGGGTCGCATTGTGGACAGTGCGGAGGGCTGTTCTAGGTTACAAAGGGAAATTGATAGGATGCAGAGCTGGGCTGAGAAGTGGCAGATGGAGTTTAACCCTGAAAAGTGTGAGGTGATTCATTTTGGAAGGACAAACTTGAAAGCGGAATACAGGGTTAGCAGAAAGATTCTTGGCAGTGTGGAGGAGCAGATGGATCTTGGGGTTCATGTTCACAGTTCCCTGAAAGCTGCCACCCAGGTGGATAGAGTGGTTAAGAAGGCGTATGGTGTGTTAACTTTCATTAATAGAGGGATCAAGTTCAAGAGCCGTGAAGTTATGCTCCAGCCATACAAAAGCCTGGTTCGGCCACATCTGGAGCATTGTGTCCAGTTCTGGTTGCCTCATTACAGGAAAGATGTGGAGGCGTTAGAAAAGGTGCCGAGGAGATTTACCAGGATGTTGCCTGGAATGGAGGGAAGGTCTTACGAGGAAAGGTTGAGAGGGCTAGGGCTATTCTCTTTAAAACGACGAAGGATGAGAGGTGACTTGATAGAGGTGTACAAAATGATCAGAGGTATAGGTAGAGTGCACAGCCAGAGACTTTTCCTAAGGTGGAGGTAGTTATTACGAGAGAGCATAGTTTTAAAGTGAGTGGAGGTAGATATAGGGGAGACGTCAGAGGTAGGTTCTTTACTCAGAGAGTGGTCGGGACGTGGAATGCATTGCCGGAGAGGGTAGTGGAGTCGGCCTCATTAGGGGCATTTAAGCGGCGATTAGATAGGCATATGAATGATAGTATAAGGTAGGGGTGGAGGTTAGATAGACCTTAGGATTAGGGTAAAATTTCGGCACAACATCGTGGGCCGAAGGGCCTGTACTGTGCTGTACTGTTCTATGTTCTATGTTCTAAGGTTTAAAGAAGTCTTAAAGGAGGAGTGAGAGGTACACGGTCAAGAAAGTTTATGGACAGAGGCTCCAGGTCTTAAAGTCCAGGTAGCTGACTGCAAAATCACTGAAGATAAAATGATTAAAAGTGGGGATTTTCAAGAGCCTAGAATTGGATGAGCACAGAGTTCTTGGAAGAGAGTAAAGTTAGAAGAGATTACAAGATAATGAGGGGCCTGGCCATTGAGAGATCTGAAAACAAGGATGTAAATTTGAAAATAAAAACACTGTTTGACCAGGAGCCAAAGTAGGCAGGGAAGCAAAAGGATGAGAGGTCAACAGGACTCAGTGTGATTTAAAACATAGAGAGTCAATTTTTGGATGCTGTTGAATGTATGAGTGTCAGATGTGGGGGAGTGCTCAAAATAGCATTGTAGTAGTCAGTCTAGAGATAATAAAGGCATAGATAGGGGTTTCAGCAGCAGATAAACTAAGACAGGGGTGAAGTTGGCCAAAGTAACAGAGGTGGAAGTAGGCACTGCCATGAATGTGGGGGCTTAAGGACATTTCAGGATCAAATATGACACCAAGATTACAGAGTCTGGCTTAGCATCAGCCTACTTCCATGTTGACATAGTGTAAAATAATTAAGTGACAGCAAGGCTGTTAGCTTATCTCAGCGATGATGATAAAGAGAACAATTTGTGATATTATCAACAGTCCTTCAATGAATTTACAAGAAAGGCAGGATATAAAATTAATCTAATCTTCACAATATTGTAGAGTCATTAATGTATCTGTACAATGCAGTAAGTAGAAACCTTGTTTGTTTTGCAGTTTCAATGCTCACCTTCACATTAATTGCCATCCTAGCTATTGGAGAATTCTCTTTTTTCCAAGAGAGCTGGATACAATACAACTATCAAGTTGACACAAATATTTCCAGGTATGCTTATCTACAGATGCCATCTAAGAAAAGTTGTCTGTGTGATACAGACATAGAGTATGAAATATTCACTCTTATCAAAATCTTCTTCTTCCTTAGTCTCTTCGGATTTTTAAAAATGTATTCACAGGTGTAGGCATCTCCGGCTAGTCCAGCAATTATTGTCCATCGCTAATTACTCCTGAGATGGCAGTGCTGATTTTCTTACAGGAACACCCACAGTGCTATTAGGAAGGAAATTCCAGGATTTTGACATAGTAACAGTGAAGGAGCAGTGATACATTTCCAAGTCAGAATAGTGTGTCGTTTTGATGGGAACTTGAGGTGACAATGTTTCCACATACCTGCTGTCCTTGTTCCTCTTTGTCACAAAGATCACTGGTTTGAAAGGTGCTGTCAAAGAAGCCTTTGGTGAAAAGGTACAAGTTGTGCATTCTAGTATCTATCATAAAAAGTTTGTTTATTGGTTCACGACAATTTTGTTTCTTCTTCTCCAATTTTTTAAGTTAATGGTTTTTAAGTCAGCTGGGGGCCCTCTTGCTTCTAATAGCCTCAACTATAGGAAACACTAGTTCTCTCAAGAGTAACAATTAGAGGTATCTGAACAGTGAGTACTGATGGTGTGTTAACCAAGTTTGGTGCTTTCTAGGTAGTTGGTATTGGTGTGGCTTACAATGTGATATGCAATAAATCTTTATTCTGCGGGCATTGACGTTGTCTAGATTCTGGAGCTAGGTGTATTGTTAGGTTGAAAATATCAAACAGGTCTAATCAAAATGATCACAACAAGACATGTGCACTACAAAATACAGCTAATTTATTAGGTTAAAATGCTTAATACATGTATGAATTAATTATTGTCAATTTATACTATATGTAGATATTAAAGCTAAATGATTAGGTCAATCTACTGAGATATACATTAAACAGGTGAATGCAGACAGTGATTAATACTGTTACCTCACAGCGCCAGGGACCCGGGTTCAATTCCTGCCAGTGGAGTTTGCACATTCTCTCCGTGTCTGTGTGGGTTTTCTCTGGGTGCTCCAGTTTCCTCCCACAGCCCAAAGATGTGCAGGCTAGGTGGATTGGCCGTGGTAAATCGTTTTGTCATGTCCAGGGATGTGCAGGCTTGGTGGATTAGCCATATGAAATGTCGGGTTACAGAGATAGGGTGAGATGCTCTTTGGAGGGTCGGCGCAGACTCAATGGGCCGAGTGATCTCATTTTGCATTGTAGGGATGCTGTGATTCTATGAGTGTCACACTGCCTTTCAGCCTTTGCGAACTCAGTGACAGTGGCACTTGGAGCTCCAGCTCAGATTGAAAGGGAAACAATCTCGCTAACCCCAGCTCAATGGTGAAAGCTCAATGAGTGGAGCAAAGTCCCTGATATTAGTACTATTCTGAATCTAATATTACGTGGTGTATCACCATTTCATTGTACTTTCAGTACTTTTCCAGAAATTCTATTGCGCAGGAAATAAGGTGAAAAACACTTCCACGTGGCTTCATGTTAACTGCATAATATTCTGTCTCTTACCTATCCAAAGTAATGCAGTTGCCTCCCAAAACCAAGCAGGTTGTTTTTACACAAGGCTTATTTCTCATGTAGTTTTCAACTTTACTTCAATTGCTCATTGTCATGTCCATTAACTCATAATGATTAACCCCTAATGGTCTACTTTTGAGATATCATCTTTTAGCCTAACACTACAACACCTCCTTTCAACATCTTCAAAACAGATGATCAAAACCTTATACAAAGCACATACATATTGTTCAATAGCTGCAAGCTGGTTATGTATGCAATACAGTTAACAGGCCACTACATAGTTAGAGTCATAGAGTCATAGAGATATGCAGCATGGAAACAGAACCTTCGGTCCAACTCATCCATGCCGACCAGATATCCTTGATAAATCTAGTCCCATTTGCTAGCATTAGGCTCATATCCCTCTAAACCCTTCCCATTCATATACCCATCCAGATGCCTTTTAAATGTTGTAATGGTACCAGCTTCCACCACTTCCTCTGGCAGCTCATTCCTTACATGCACCACCCTCTGTGTGAAAATGTTGCCCCTTAAGTCTCTTTTAAATCTTGACCCTCTCTCCTTAAACCGATGCGCTCTAGTTTTGGGCTCCCCCACCCCAGGGAAAAGACCCTTTCCATGCCCCTCATGATTTTACAAACCTCTATAAGGTCGCTCCTCAGCCTCCGATTTTCCAGGGAAAATAGCTCCATTCTATTCAGCCTCTCCCTATAACTTAAAGCCTCCAGCCCTGCCAACATCCTTGTAAGCCTTTTCTGAATCCTTTCAAGTTCCACAACATACTTCCAATAGCAGGGAAACTGGAATGGCATGCAATATTCCAATAGTCGTCTAACAAATGTCCTGCACAGCTGCAACATGACCTCCAACTCCTATACTCAATGCACTGACCAATAATACCAAACACCTTCTTCACTATCCTGTCTACCTGTGACTTCACTTTCAAGGAACTATAAACCTGCACTCCAAGGTCTCTTTGTTCAGCCACACTCCCCAGGACCTTACCATTAGTGTATAAATCCTGCCCTGATTTGCCTTTCCAAAATGCAGCACCTCACATTCATCTAAATTAAACTCCATCTGCCACTCCTCAGCCCATTGGCCCATCTGATCAAGATCCCGTTGTACTCTGGGGTAACCTTCTTCGCTGTCCACTACACCTCCAATTATAGCGTTATCTGCAACCTTACTAACCATACCTTCTATGTTCACATCCAAATCATTTATATAAATGATAAAAAGCAGTGGACCCAGCACTGATCCTCGTGGCACACCGCTGGTTACAGGCCTCCAGTCTAAAAAGCAACCTTCCATCACCACCTTCTGTTTCCTACCTTCATGCCAGTTCTGTATCCAAGTAGCTAGTTGTTCCTTTATTCTGTGTGATCTAACCTTGCTAACCAGTCTACCATGAGGAACCTTGTTACATAATAACAAGAAAACAACAATTAACAATGATATAACTATTGGATGACATAAGAGTGAGTGTACTACCCAAGCTTTAAGTGGACACCCCTTAAATATGTCCAACCAATGATGTGCATTAAGGTTTGCTAAATTATCCGCTATGTGAATCAATTGGTCTTGGCTATAAGTCATGGTGGTTTCTTACCATAAGAAACAATGGTGTCTGCTGATGCTGTGCAAGGAAAGTCCGCAATTACTTAAATGTCAGATGCAGTGGTATCCTACTCAATCGATTGGAAGTGCAATAAATGGTTTATCGGCTTCCGTTCTTTGATTATGTATTGTTATGTCTAATTGCATTATAGATGGCATAAATTTTATCTCTACTTAAGTTGATGGATGATTCCTCTCTCTTATCATTAAGATCGACAGCATGAGTGCCACCGACACAATAAGGGAAAATTTAGTGAATGATTGTATCATTGAGTGGTAACTTCCTCCATTTGCAAGTACTCCTGCTCTTCTGCAATGTACATAGTTCAAAGGTAACAGTATGGAAGGGGCATACTAGGCCTTCTGGCCATTGGTCATGATCACCTTGCTGGTGGGTCTGGTTGTTGTTATCGCTATTTGTCATAAAACACAGGTGCCCACAGCATATCCCCAAACAGACACGGTAGGATGATAAACTGGCACCATATTTGCTGCAGTGCAGCATTTAAAATCAGTTAACAATTAACCCTTAATGGTCAAGTTTGGAGATATCATTTTTAAAGCCGACACTACACAATCTACTCTGAGGGTGTTTAGACTGTGGACATTGGTAATGCCAAGATTGTGGGCATTGGTAGTGTATAAACAGATGGCACAGGCCCTTTACATTAACTACATAATTAAACCTTAGGAAAGAAAAGCAGGGAGACATGATAATAGAACAGATTGAGAGATTTCATTGTCAGAGACCGACGCTCTTGAGGCTGGATTGCAGCAGAAGTATTCCTCTTGATCACATGCCTTACTGTCATTGCACTGTGGATCTTAGGTTGAGGTTCTGACAACCAATCAGAAGTCCCCACTGTGGAAATTAAACGTCTCTAATGTGACAAATGTCTAACCTACTTTGCATTCCTATTTCAGCAAGCTCCAAGTAAATCTCGATATCACAGTGGCCATGCAATGTGACTGTAAGTATCTGGTACAGTTTTGCAAACACTGTTCGGGAGGATCTGAAGGCCTTTGAGGGAAAGTAGAGTAGATTCAGCCAAATGATTTGGGGTGAGGGAACTTAACTACAGGATTTAGTTGGAGTCAAGGTTGTTCTGGGAGCAAAGGAGGTTGAGAGGTGATCAGATAGAGATATACAGCATAGGTAAGGTAGAAAAGGAAAACTGTTACTAACTGAAGGTATGTCTTTACGTTGCTTGAGATGAAGTGTCTTGAAGGGAATTGTAGATGTATAACCTTGTTAAAAGTTCTTATAAACAAATATGGATGTATATAATTTGTTTACAATTTGCATAGATGATTTGGAGTTGGAGACTAAGTGTGGTGTGTCAAAATTTGCAGATGACACTAAGGTGAGTGGTACAGCAAAGTGCGCATAAGACACTGAAAGTTTGCAGAGGGATATAGATAGTCTAAGTGAGTGGGCAAAGGTCTGGCAGATGGAGTACAATGTTGATAAGTGTGAGGTCCTCCATTTTGGTAGGAATAACAGCAAAATGGACTATGTTTTAAATAGTAAAAAATTGCAGCACGCTGCTGTGCAGAGGGACTTGGGTGTCCTTGTGCATGAATCACTGAAGGTGGGATTGCAGGTGCAGCAGGTGATTAAAAAGGCAAATGGAATTTTGTCTGCCATTGCTCGAGGGATGGAGTTTAAAAACAGGGAGGCTATGCTGCAGCTGTATAGGGTCCTGGTGAGGCCACACCAAAATAAAGGGAAGCAGATGTAGGACTGAGGTCAGGAGGAACTTCTTCACCCAAAGGGTTGTGAATCTGTGGAATTCCCTGCCCAGTGAAGTGGTTGAAGCTACCTCGCTGAATGTTTTTAAGGCAAGGCCAGATAAATTTTTGAACAGTAAAGGAATTAAGGGTTATGGTGAGTGGGCAGGTAAGTGGAGCTGAGTCTCAAAGATCAGCCATGATCTTATTAAATGGCGGGGCAGGCTCGAGGGGCCAGATGGCCTACTCCTGCTCCTAGTTCTTATGTTCTTATGTTCTTATGTTCTTATATGCATAGCTCATTGAAAACTACAAAATACTTAAAGGGATAAACAAGGTAGATGTTTCCCATAGCTGGGGAGTCTATCAACATGATACACAATTTCAAAATATGGGAAGCCAATTCGGACCAAGATGAGGAGTATTTTTTTAACATAAAAGGTTGAGAATCTTTAGAATATGCTGCAAAGAGAGCTGTGGAAGCTAAGTCATTGCGTATATTTGAAGTAGATCTTGACATATTACAAAATACCCTGCATCAGTTAGGAAGATTAAGCTCTTTCATTTTAACAAGACCCTTACAGACACTCAGCCCTCATTGAAAAGACACCCCTATCTCCACATTAGAGCCTCTTGCTCACCTGGCATGTTATAAATGGCTCTCATCCTTCCTTAAATTGTTAGTCACTAGATGCTATTTTCTTTACAACATCTTCACCTTCAACAAGCAGTTCTTCATCCAGACACACGAACAGCCATGGGGACCAAATTTGCTCCCCAATATGCCAACATTTTCATGTAAAAGTTTGAACAAGACTTCTTTACTGCACAGAACCTCCAAACAACGTTATACACCAAATACATTGAGAACATTTTCTTCCTCTGGACTCATGGCGAGGAATCACTGAAACAACTACATAGCGATATCAACAAGTTCCATCCCACCATCAGATGTACCATTGACTACTCTTTGGAATCAGTCTCATTCTTGGACACATGCATCTCCATCAGGGACAGACATCTCAATACCCTACTCTACCACAAGCCAACGGATAACCTCACGATGCTATACTTCTCCAACTACCACCCAAAATATATTAAAACAGCTATCCCCTACGGACAAGCCCTATACATACACAAGGTCTGTTCAGATGAGATGGGCACCTGAAGGTGTTGAAGGACACCCTCATAGGAACAGGATACAATGCTCAACTCATCGATCACCAGTTCCGATGAACCACGGCGAAAAACTGTAATGACATCATCAGAAGACAGACACAGGTTACGTCCGATAGGGTAACCTTTGTCATCCAGTCCTTCCTGGGAGCGGAGAAACCACACCATGTTCTTTGCAGCCTTCAGCACATTATTGATGATGATGTGCACCTCGCCAAGATCTTCCCTACGCCTCCACTTCTCGCCTTCAAACAACCACCAAACCTTAAACAGACCATTGTTCGCTATCTTCAGGACAACACAACACCACACAACCCTGCCATGGCAACCTCTGCAAGATATGCCAGATCATCGACATGGACACTACCATCACACGTGGGAACACCACCCACCATGTACACGGCAGATACTCATGTGATTCAGTCAATGTTGTCTCTCTCGTACACTGCAGGCAAGGACGCCCTGAGGCATGGTATATCGGTGAGACCATGCAGACGCTATGACAACGGATGAATAGACACTGCGCAACAATTGCCAGACAGGGATGTTCCCTCCCAGTGGAGATTCACTTCAGCGGTAAAGGACATTTGATCTTGGTTCTTTGGGTAAACATCCTCCAAAGCGGACTTCGAGATAAACAACAGCGCAGAGTTGCAAGCAGAGGCTGATGGCTAAGTTCGGTACCCATGAGGACGGACTCAAATGGGATCTTGGGTTCATGTCGCACTACAAGTAGCCCCAGCACATTACACACACACTCACACACATGCATACATTCAGACACACTCACATGCACACACGGATCCTCACTCACTGTCTCTCAAACACACACACACACAAACTCTTTCTTCCTCTCTCTCCACACCCCCAACAGACACACACACATGCCCACACTCTCTCTCTCTCCCACACACATATACACACACACACACACTCTCGCTCTCCTACACACACACACACACACACACACACACACACACACACACACACACTCTTGCTGTCACACACACACACACAACTCTCTCTCTCCCACACAGACACGCATACCCTCTCTCCTGCACACACACATTCTTTCTCTCTCTCTCTCTCCCACACACATAGACCCTCTCTCCTGCACACACACATTCTTTCTCTCTCCCACACACATAGACACACACTCTCTGTCTCTCCCACACACACACGCACGCGCACACACACATACACACACACTTACTCTCTCCCCCCACCCCACACACACATACACACACTCTCTCTCCCTCTCCCTGCCTCACTCACTCACACACACACACACACACACATTGCCTCTCTCTCCTCCTCACACACACACACATATATATCAATGGGGTGAATTTGTATTTGCAGATATGTTCTATTTTGTTCAAAAAGCACAGAATTTATAGAAAGCCAGTCAATGTGGTGTTTTCTAAATTCCTACTTTAGAAATAAAACCAGTCTGACTCCAAACCAAAACAGAAACAGATTCTAAATGAGGATCACACCTAACATGCATCATCTGACCTCGAATGTCACCTCTTCTTTACACTGATAAAACCTTTAGTTCTCTCAGGGTAATGACTTAAAATGAATTTAGGGATTTACATATACATATTAATCAATTCAAACCCTCTAACTGATAAAAGATTTAACAGCATCTTAGGTTTGTTTAATACATCCTCATCAGTGTTGTGACCCTTTGATCTTTTACTTATAAATTCCATGTCTGATACTATCTCTCTCACTAACACCTGCAGAAGGACCGAAGCTCTGAAAGCTTGTGTTTTCAAATAAACCTGTTGGACTATAACCTGGTGACATGTGATTTCTGTCCTTGTTCAACAGCTCTGTAATGTGTCTTCCTCTACAACATCCCTAAGCCTTCTGCTTCTGAAGCTTCTGTTCTCACTTACCACTAGGCAAATCAGGATTCTCCCAGCTATTACTACTTGGAGACAACAGTTCTGCTGGTATGGGCCTTTTCCTGCTTAATGAATCTGCACCTAGTTCTTCTCCCTCTCTCACTGTCTCTCTGGTGGTTTTAAAACTCAAGTCAGCCAACACCTTAGCAATTATGCCCAAAGACAGCTTATTGGCTATTTAGCTGAAATCACATGATTCTTGTCACCGTTTTGAACTCAAGGTTTAAAATTAATTTCCAATCTTTAATTAGATCTTCATAGAACTGAAAGACCAAAATCAATTTTTCCTCCATTTTAGAAGCCATGGTTGCAAATTTTCAAAACATTAATGGTTTATCTGAGTGATGCCTAAGAACAGTTTATATAGTTACAGTTCCTCGTCCAGTTCTATTCCTTACTGTATTAACCTGAAACAGGGGATCTGGTGAATTTGGAGATTTGCAAGGGCTATCTTTATAATGTTGAAGGTAGTCAAAGTTATCTGATGATGCAATAGGATCTACAAATTAGCAGGTTCGTGGATTTCAATTTGATGTATCGTTCCTAAAGCTATGTGCTATTCATATTTATTTTTAAAATGCCTTTGCTGTGTAAGTGTGGATGGCACTACATTTCTTATTTACCCCAAATTGCCTTGATGGAATTATAGGTTAACCACCTAGATGGGACTGGAGGAGCTGTAGGCCAGTCCAGGCCTCAGTGGCAGATTTGTTTCCCCAAAATACACAAGTGAACCAAAAGCTTTCATTGTGATTATATCTTTTCATAGTTATTTTAGTGCCAATTATCATTATTTTTCCATTGCATTATAAAGGCTCAATTTATTCACTAATATCCTTAACCAGACTGGTCTTCATATTGCATTCCAGTCCCACAAACAACCTGGTTGACTCTTAACTGCTGTTTGAAGTGGCCGAGTAAGATCCCTCCTTTTTAAAATCTTTCATTTCTCCTTTCATGAGAAATGTGAATAAGTGAGGCTCTTGACAATAGCATCCACATCTCGAGAGGAAACAGAATAAAATCTAATGTTCTATCTGTTAGAAAAGGCTAAACAGGCAAAATCATTTCCCTAGAAATGAAAAGGCTGAGAAGGTTTTAAAATGACCAACAGGTTCAAGAGATTAGAATTTGGAAAGTTGTTAAAAGTAGCTGAAACAAATAATACTGAAGCATTTAAGTGGAACCTAAATAAGCACAGGGTGAAAGGTACAGAAGGAAACAGGGTGCATCAAAATTCAACTAAAATGCCTGTAAAGTCATTCTGTTTCTGTTGTTCTATGTTGTTATCCAAAGTTGTTGGAGCAGACATGGTTGATCAGACAGAAGCCAGGGTTGGTGAGTCTGGAGACCTTCAGTATGAGCCAGTAAGTTTTTTTTTATCAGCCTCACTTTTATCTTTGATGTGTATGTGTAAGCTGACTCTGAGTTTTATTTTAAGAGAGTAGGAGGAGCCAATGTTCTCTCTAAGCTGCGAGGCTGCGGATAGCAATTGATGTGTCGATGTTATTTGCAGCATTGATGTCCAGTTCCAGAAGTCACTACTGTGCAAGGACCTTGGAGATCTGCACAGAAGAAAGAAAATGAGGGTGAAAGCTGGGTACAGCCCTGTTAATGTGCGGCTCCTGTCTCTCCCTCTCTCTCTTCACTTAAGTCCCACCCTCAAATCTAGCTCTTTGACCAAACTTTGAATACCTGTCCCAATTTCTCTTTATCCAGCTCAGTGTCAAATTTAGTTAAATAACCCTCCTACAATGTGCCATTGTATGATTTACTACATTATAGGTGCTACATAAATGAAAGTTGCTGTTGTTTCACCAACCTCAGCTAGTCATATTTTTCCATGGAGTGGAATTATAACCTTCTCTATATATCATATACATATTTTTAAATATTTAGACCTGCTTTGAACTCACAGGAAAGGAGAAAGCCTGGCAGAGGTATGTTTTTAAAGAGATTTTCTTTAAGAGATTTTGACATTCTGTCCTTATTGAAACAGAAATTTAGGTCCTTCACAAAACTAATCAGAAAACCTACATTTACCTGCAGAACAATACAAACTATTCAACAACAGCTCAGTGAGGAACATAATTTGCTGGAATTCCTCATCAAGTCATCATTTAATGGAACACCAAAGGGTCCAAGGTAATTGCACAGCTTAGAGTGTATCAGTTTATAGTGATTGTAACACTTTTGAATTCAAGATAGGAGATTATAGGCTCAAGGCCTACTCCAAAGGCTTAAACACTACTGCAACGTGTCATTTTTAAGCCCTATTTATCCTCTTAGGTGGATGTCTCTATTACTGATATAGGCCACGTATATTAACACTGCATGTACTATACACCATGCTTAACCTCAATCTCTATGAAGTTCACCATGAATAATCACCAAACATAGCTTTGAAGTAATATCTGGAACCTCAGGCTGAAAAGCAGTGGCTCAGATCCTGAACCTGATGCTCATAACCCATGAAAGATTTTTAAAATAGCCAGATCTCCATACCCCCCCCAGACCTCCTAATGCAGGCTCCCATTTTCAAGACCCCAGTCACAGCCATGTCTTTCTAATCCTGGTGGCTTCCAGAACAATAACCAGTGATACCAAGGGCTCAAGTTGGTATCAGGAGGGGAGGCAATGGCCTAGTGGTATTATCATTAGATTGTTAATCCAGAGACTCAGATAATGTTCTGGGGACCCAGGTTCAAATCCCGCCACGGCAGATGGTGGAATTTGAATTCAAAAAAAGAAATCTGGAACTAAGAATCTAATGGTGACTATGAATCCATTGTTGATTGCCAGGAAAAACCCATCTGGTTCACTAATGTCCTTCAGGGAAGGAAACTGCCATCCTTACCTGGTCTGGCTGACATGTGACTCCAGACCCACAGCAATGTGGTTGACTCCAAACTGCCCTCTGGGCAATTAGGGATGGGCAATAAATGCTGCCTAGCCAGTGACACCCTCATTCCATGAATAAATTAAAAGAAAAGGAGGTACAGTGTATCTGGAATTACTCAGAACTAAAGCACAAACACTTGCCATGTGGTCTAATGGTCTATACATTATAGAGACTGCATTTGTTACATTTCTTATTTCTATTCTTATATTTCATTCTCGTTCACACATTTATCTAACTTGCTGTTAAATGTATTAAAATAATGATTAATTAATCTGATACTGAAATGTTTAAATTGAATCTGACTAGAACCTGTGGATTTTAAAGTCTATCAGAGAAAAGTAATGTGTAAATGACATTAGAAAATGATTTTGTCATTTTTCTTTCAGGATTGTTGACTCCAGAGATCCTCCAAATGCCTGCAGGATTCATGGTTCACTGAAACTCAACAAAGTAGCAGGGAATTTACACATTATGGCTGGGAAGTTGGTACAATCCTGTTTATTTTGCATTGTTTTCAAAATGTGCAATTCAGCCTCACCACCCTGTTAAGTAAATGAGTCATTAATCAAAAAGTGCTTGAAACAGGCAGTCCTCACTCAGAGCCAATATTATAGGAATTACAGAAAAATTAAAGCCATGAAACAGGCCATGCTATCTAACTGCTTTAGGCTCCTCAGAAATCTTTTCCCACACTAGTTTATCTCATCAGGTCAGTATATCTGCTATACTTTCTCACTCATGTGTATATCTAAATTCCCATGTTCTTCAGCAAAACACCACTTGCCCCATTAGTGGCAGAGTTTGTAAATCCAGCATTGGACTAGTCAGTCACCTTAGGACCCACGAGTGGTAGAAAGTCATTCTTCTTCCCAATGAACTGCCTTAAAAAAAGAAGAAATACATCTTTGCTATTTACTTAGCTATTCCTTATGACAGTGGGTTTCACAGTCTCATCACTCTCAGGGCAAAGACATTTATCTTGAATTCACCACTAGTTTAATGAGTGACTATCATATGTTGAAGTGTAAAAATCTATGTCTACCCTAACTAACTCATTCATCATTTTAAAGATCTCTATCAGGTCTCCTTTCAAACATCTGTTTTCTGGAGAAAAAGAGCCCAAGACTGTTCCATCTTTTCTCATAGGTCCAACCATTCAGGTTCTGTATGATCGTTATAAATAGTTTCTGCAGTTTTGAAAAACCGCCCAGAGTAAGGAAGCTAGAACATTGCATGATTAGTGTCTTTCCTAAAATACTTTGTGATCTGCGCTCTTTTGTAATTCAGGTTCATTTTATGAAGTAAAATAAAACATAGAGCTGGTATTTATGCTGATGACAAGGTGGGAGGGGTTTGCGAGGGGGGTAGGGGTTGCATGGTTGGAAGGGATGTGTGGGAAGGTGGAGTGAGTCAAATAAATGGAGAAAGTGCCCACAGAGAGAGAGACAGTGAGCAAAGGGAAGCACACAAAGGGAATGCTGATAAACAGGAGAGAGAGAAATGGTGTATGGGCAATAATACAAAGTGTGAATAGTTGAAAATGGGGTTAGCAACCCATACAGGACAGAACCTAGGGGGGATGTGGAGGTGGGTAATGAACGTAGAAGAAAGTGCTCATGCTCTGAAATTGTTAGACTCAATGTTGTGTCCTGAGGACTGTAAGATACCTTGGCAGAAGATGCGGTGTTATTCCTCCAGCTAGCGTTGACTCTCGCTGGAGCACTGCAGCAGGCCTGAAACAGAAAGACTGGTGTGTGAACAGGGTGGTATGTTAACAATGGCAGGCAACTGGAAGCTCAGGGTCATTTTTACTGATAGAGCAGATGCATTCTGCAAAGCGGCAAACAAAATCTGTGTTTTATCTCCCCAATGCCGAGAACACCACATTGTGAGCAGCGAATACAGTCAACTAGATTGAAGGAAGAGAAGGTAAATTGTTGCTTCGCCTGGAAAATGTGTCTGGGGTCTTGGATAGTGAGGAGGGAGGATGTAAACAGGCAGGTAACTATGCCTTCTGTGATTACATGGGAAGGTGTTGTAGGAGAGTGGGTAAGTGCTAAAAACGAAGAGGGAGTGGACCTTTGTTTCCCAGAAGGAATTTTCGCTGTGGAATACTGACAAGGGAGGGGAGGGGAATATGTATCCTGCTGGAGGAGGTGGAAATGGTGATTTATGTTCCTTTGGACGTGGGGGTTGGTGGGGTGGAAAGTGAGAACAAGAGGGACCCTTATCATCATTGAGGGAGAGGTGGTCAGGCAGGGTGGGCAAGAAATGGTCAGACATGGCTGAGGGACCTGTCAACCACAGTAGCAGGGAATCCTCTGTTGAGGAAATAGATGGATTTGTCTGTGGGTCGCTACAACATCAGAACAAATGTGATGGATACGAATATGGCAAGCTGAAGGAACAACACCTCATCTCCACCTAGATACCTTACAACCCTAAGTACTCAACATTGAGTGTAACAATTTCAGAGTGTGAACACCTTTTCCATGTTTGTTAGCCACCCCTACTCCTCCGGTCCTGTTATGTATGAGTTGTTCCCAGCATAGCTAACCCCATTTTCAACTATTCACATTTCTCATTAACACCTATTGAGTATTTACTTATTCCCAGCTTACTATCAGCAACCCCTTTGTCTGCTTCTCTTTCTCTTTCTCTCTGTGTGCACCATTTCCATCTATTTGACCGATTCCACTCAGATCCCAACCCACTCTGCACGCACGCGCGCACACGCACACACACACGCGCGCGCACACACACACACACGCGCACACGCACGCACACACACACCCATCATCAGCAGATATACCACCTTTACCGTGCGACCTTTGGTTCTGACAAAGAGTTGCTGGACGCAAAACATTAACTGTTTTTCTCTCCAGAGGTGCTTCCAGACCTGCTGAGTTTCTCTAACACTGTTTTTGTTTCAGTTTCTGGGCTAACTTATATACAAATATACTATCAGACGGGGAAAATTCATTGAGTCTTATCAATGTTCATCTTCATTCACAGGAGCCATTAGGCACAGAAGGAGCTCAATCGGCCCCTTGAGACTCTTCCAGTTCTTTACTCAACAACTCACTTTCACCATTTCCCTGCTCTATCCCCATAGTCTAGTATCCCCAAGTGCCCAAACAAACTCCTTTAGAGTATATTGATTGACTCCACATCAGTTACTGTCATTGGCAGATTGTTTCAAGTCATTACCAATTGCTACTCAAAATTATCTTCTCTACTTTATGTTACAACTGTTGCCAAAATGTTAAATCTGTGACCTATACTCAATAGACGACCCAATCTTACGTGGCAATCTTTTAGTTTGATGAGTACCTGAGATTTACATGCACCAAGAACAAAATACCAAACTGTGAAACATCATTCTTCCTTTTTTTCAGACCATACCAATTTTCATTTGGCCATGCCCATGTACTTGCCTCAAAGGATCCTAAAGGTAACTTTTCCTGCACAATCTGTAACTTGCTTACTCTTACAACCAACTCGCTGCTCCCAGGATACACTCAAATCTCAATGGATAGGGTCCAGATAAGGACCATTCCCCTTAGATAAAAGTATTTAACTGCTACTACTAGCTGCTTCATTCGAGCAGTGGTGTGGAATGGCAGGTCCTTCACCTCTGACTGAGAAAACCATGGGTAAAATCCCATAAACAGGCCTGAATACTGAATCTAGGCTGACACATTAGTGCCATATTGATAGAGCACCAATGTTCAGGTGTGAGTTAAAAAAAAGACCTACAACTGAAAGAAAGAGAGCTGGGAAGTTCTGGGATAGTAGGAACTGCAGATGCTGGAGAATCTGAGATAACAAGGTGTAGAGCTGGATGAACACAGCAGGCCAAGCAGCATCAGAGGAGCAGGAAGGCTGATGTTTCGGGCCTAGACCCTTCTTCAGACCCGAAACGTCAGCCTTCCTGCTCCTCTGATGCTGCCTGGGAAGTTCTGGCCTGGCCAACACTTCCCCAGTAAATAACATTATCAAAAAAAAACCTGATAACTGGTCACTCACTTAGGATTTTGCTATGTGCAAAACTGTTACTGTGTTCACTCACAAAACACCAGTGCTGGAGATTCATTGCCTGTCATGAGCTTTAAGCTGATAATAAAATTGAATAAGGTGCTATGTGAAGGCAAATTCTTTCTGTTTATGCTTCCCTCTCTTTCACAAACTCAGATGTGTGCAATATATTCAGGACCATTCCTTTATGCTAACTGTCATCAGTGTCTAGGACCTTTCTATTGAGTAAGAAATGTTGGTTGATATCTGGAACTGATCAATCAGTATAGTAAAGATTCTGGTACAGAAAGTCACCTAAGATACTAACGAAAGCTTTCAAAATTTAACACTGATTTCCATTGAGGCTGATATGAAACAAAACAGTGAAGGGCATAGCTTCACTCATGTCTGAGTTAATGAAGGGTGTCAATTTTATTAAAAATGTCAATGTCATGCTGCGACACAAATACGTACAGAATTCTGAATGTGTTCAACAAAACTGAGCAATAACAGATTTTACTTACTACAAACAAGCCCTGATCCCATGACCTCCACCACCTAAATGGACAAGGGCAACAAAAGCCTGGGAGCACCACTATGCTCCCCTGACTCGGAACAATAGCATCATTCCTTCACTGTCACTGGGTCAAAACCCAATTTAATTTCCAATTTAAATTGTGACTACAGTTAGATTTAGTATTATTATGGAAAAGGACAGAGATACATCAGGAGTAAAAGTTTTTAACTGGGTGAAGGCAAATTTTCCAAAACTGAGAAGTGATTTGGCTGAGGTGGATTGGACAGGACTGCTAAAGCGCAAATCAGTGATAAGCCAGTGGGAGGCACTAAAAAGTGAGATCTTTAAAGCACAAGGCCCACAAGTCCACTCCAAGAATAAGAATGGTTCTGCCAAATCTAAATCCCCATGGTTGTCTAGAAAAATACAGGGGAAAATTAAACAGAAAAAGAAAGCTTCTAATAGACACAAAGAACTGAACACTGCAGATAGCGCAGTGGAGTATAGAAAGTACAAGGATCAAGTGAAAAAAGAAATAAGGAAATCAGAGTCAGGGCATGAAAAAATATTATCTAGCAAGATAAAGAAAAACCCAAAGATGTTTTACCAGTATATAATGAGCAAAAGGATAGTTAAGCAAAAAGTGGGACAATGCAGAGATGAAGAAGGGAACTTGTGCGAAGATGCGGAGGACGTGGGAAAAATTTTAAATGAATTTTTTTTCTCCAAATTCACAAAGGAAAGGGATGATGTGAATGCAGTAATCCAAGAGGAGCACTGTGAAATATTGGACAAAATAATCATAACAAGAGAGGAATTGTTAGAGGAGTTGCAATCCTTGGAAGTGAATATGTCACCAGGGTTAGATGGATTGTTACATAGCATGTTGAAGGAGGTCAGGGAGGAATTTGCAGATGCTTCAAGGATTATTTTACAATATTTACTAGGTACAGGTGAGGCACCGGAGGATTGGAGGAATGCAAACGTACAAAGGAAATATTATAGGCCAAATGTGGGGGCACCAATGGGAAATTTACAGACGATACAAAAATTGGTGATGTATTGGGTAGTGTAGAGGATAGCTGTAAGTTCCAAAATAATATAAATGAGTTGGTGGAGTGGCAGTAAAGTGGCAGATGGAGTTCAACTCTGATAAGTGTGAAGTAATGCATTGGGGGGGGAGGTCAAACAGTAAAAGAGAATACACAATAAATGGGAATATACTGAGAGGCGTAAATAAAGTGAGAGATCTTGGTGTGCAAGTGCACTGGTCCCTAATGGTAGCAGTACAAGTAGATGCAGTTGTTACAAAGGCATATGGAATGCTCTCCTTCATTGACAGAGGCATAGAATACAAAAGAAGGGACATAATAATGAAATTGTATAGACATTGGTGGGGTCACAACTGGTCACCACATTACAAGGACATAACTGCTCTGGAGAGAGTGCAAAGAAAATTTACTAGAATGTTGCCAGAGAATTGGAACTACATGGAGAGATTGGGAGAGAGATCTCACACTTCCTACAGACAAAGGGGGTGGCCGTGGGTACCCACATGGGCCCAAGCTATGCCTGCCTCTTTGTAGGATATGTAGAACAATCCCTCTTCCGAAGCTACACTGGCCCTATCCCCCACCTCTTCATTACATCGATGACTGTATCGGCGCCGCCTTGTGCTCCCACGAGGAGCTCGAACAGTTCATCTGCTTCACTAGCACCTTCCACCCCAACCTTAAGTTCACCTGGACCATCTCCGATACCTCTCTCTCCTTCCTGGACCTCTCTGTTTCCATCTCTGGCAACCACCTGGAAACCAATATCCATTTCAAGCCTACCGACTCCCACAGCTACCTAGAATACACCTCCTCTCACCCACCTTCCTGCAAAAATGCCATCCCCTATTCCCAATTCCTTCGCCTCTGCTACATCTGCTCCCGAGATGAGGCATTCCACTCCCAGACATCCCAGATGTCCTCGTTTTTCAAGGACCGCAACTTCCCCTCCACAGTGGTCGAAAACGCCCTCGATCGTGCCTCTCGCATTTCCCGCAACTCACCCCTCACACCCCCTCCCCGCAATAACAACCAAAACAAAATCCCACTCGTCCTCACGTACCACCCCACCAACCTCCGGATCCAATGCATCATCCTCCGACACTTCTGCCATCTGCAATCTGACCCCACAATCAAAGACATTTTTCCCTCCCCACCCTCATCTGCTTTCCGGAGGGACCACTCTCTCCGTGACTCCCTTGTCCGCTCCACACTCCCCACCAGCTCCACCACACCCGGCACTTTTCCCTGCAACCGCAGGAAGTGCTACACCTGCCCCCACACCTCCCCCCTCACCCCCATCCCAGGCCCCAAGAAGACCTTCCACTTCAAACAGATGTTCACCTGCACATCTGCTGATGTGGTATGCTGTATCCACTGTTCCCAATGTGGCCTCCTCTACATCAGGGAAACCAAGCAGAGGCTTGGAGACCGCTTTGTGGAACACCTACGCTCGGTTCGCGACAAACGACTGCACCTCCCAGTCGCGAACCATTTCAACTCGCCCTCCCACTCCTTGGATGGCATGTCCATCCTGGGCAACCTCCAGTGCCACAATGATGCCACCCGAAGATTGCAGGAACAGCACCTCATATTTCGTTTGGGAACCCTGCAGCCCAATGGTATCAATGTGGACTTCACAAGCTTCAAAACCTCCCCTCCCCCAACCACATCCCAAAGCCAGCCCAGCTTGTCCCCGCCTCCCTAATCTGTCCTTCCTCCCACCTATCCACTCCTCCCACCTCAAGCCCCAGCCCCATCTCCTACCTACCAGCCTCATCCCGCCTCCTTGACCTGTCTGTCTTCCCTGGACTGACCTATCCCCTCCCCAACTCCCCACCTACACTCACCTTTACTGGCTCCATCCCCGCCTCTTTGACCTGTCTGTCTCCTCTCCTCCTTTATCCATCTTCCATCCGCCTCTCCCGCTCTCTCTATTTATTTCAGAATCCCCTTCCCCTCCCCAATTTCTGAAGAAGGGTCCAGACCCGAAACGTCAGCTTTCCTGCTCCTCTGATGCTGCTTGGCCTGCTGTGTTCATCTAGCTCTACACCTTGTTATCTCAGATTCTCCAGCAACAGCAGTTCCCACTATCTATGGAGAGATTGGGGTTGTTTTTCTTGGAACAGAGAAGGCTAAGGGGTGACATGATTAAGGTATACAAAATTGTGACGGGTAGAGATAGAGTAGACGGAAGGAACTTGTTTCCTTTGGCAGAGAGTTCAAAAACCAGGCGTTATAGATTCAAGCTAAGTTGCAGAAGGATTAGAGGGTATGTGAGGAAAAACGTTTTTATGCAGAGGATGGTGGGGCCTGGAATTTGCTGTGTGAGTTAGTGGTGCAGGCAGATATCCTAAACACTTTCAAAAAGTACCTGGATCTGCGCCTTAAGTGTTGTAAACTGTAGGGCTATGGGCCATGTGCAGGAAGATGGGATTAGAAAGGGCATCTGAATATCTTTGGGTCGGCAATGGATAAGATGGTTTGAATGTCCCCTTTCTGTGTTGTATTATTTTTGTGGTTCTATGTTCCAAGTCTGTTGAATTTTGAGAGCCGTGTTTAAAAACTCTTTTGCGTCCATTTTAAAAGGAAATTTAAGTTTATTACAAAAATCTATATCATGATTATGCATTTGTTATGTTATATAATCAAAATAGAAACATAAAAGTAATAAAACCATGCATAGTCCTGGTCAGATCATCCCTTGGCCATTGTGATCAAAGACACAAGGGAGATGTTCAGGCATTGGAGAAAGTGATGTGCAAATTCCCTGTTATCAGAGCACCGACCAAAAATTGACAACCTTGTGATTTTTCACTTTGAAGGTAAATCATTGAGAAGAAACTATTCCTCAAATAAAGTCTTTGACCCCACAATCTTTACAATCCTAATCTTCAACTTGCAGTTCCTTTCCAAAGCCCTTGACCATGCTGTCACTACACAAATCTAAGCCCATCTTTCTTGGAATTCTAATGAAAAGTCCACCCCTATGACAGTAGCAAAATGGATGTTATCATAGGCACTAAACACATCAAATCTGACCATGTCAAAGATAAACAATGACATTTCATCATTCTTGATGCCTTTGACATAATGTATGCTCCTTCATCTTTCCCCTGCTGCTCACTTCAGTGGAACTGCTCTCTTCTGAATCAGATTTTATCTATTTAACCTTAGGCTTTTCTCTTTCACTCCTACAGTTTCCACTAGAGTTCTAAAGGATCCATCCCCTTCTATTTCTCATCTACATGATGTTCCTTGTGACATCATTTGAAAACATTCTTAGCTTTTACACAGATGATGATTGTTCACATTTCAATCTCACCACCACATCCCTCAGCCCTTCCACTATCTCTAAATTGCTAGACTGCTTGTCCAACATTCATTATCAGAGAAGCAGAAATTTCTTCCAATTTAAAATTTGGAAAACTGAAGCCATTGTCTTCCATCTCAATGCAAATCCTATTCCTTAGTTACTAATTTTATTCTTCTGCCTAGCAACATTGTGAGGGTAAGCCAGACAGTTGCAACCTTGGTGTCATACTTAACACTAAAATGAGCATCTAACCATATGTCAAAGTCATTATCAAGACTGCCAATTCTCATCTCTGTAACTTGTCTGACTCTATCCCTGCCTCAGTTCATTTGCTGCTGAAAATATCATTTATGCCTTTGTTGCGTAAAAACGTTTCTGGTTCTTCAGTCAATTGCTTAGCAATAAAGTCCGGTAATGAGATACCTGGGCTATGCAGCATTAAAAGAGCACTTGTATTCCTTGGAGTCACTAGAATCAACTCCAACACTCACACTTCCATCACCAGACTTAAAACAAAAAGACCATTGGGGATGAAGATCAAAAGAATAGGCTGAAAGAAAAAGAAAATTCTCAGAGTATCATCCACACATACACATCAGGGAAAAAAATCATTTATGTTTTGACTATAGAAGAATCATTTGCACAAAACATGAGAGCACAAAAGATGGAAAGAATGGCTTCAGTGTTGCATTACTAACACAGTTTATAGCTGACAAGAGTTCAACACACCCTGCTTATTCCTTTCCCATCTGGTGAAGCCTATTAGTGTACTGTGAGGCTCAGCTGCTGTTTACAAAATGTACAAATTGAGTTCTTTCCAAGGGTTAATTGTTCTGGCCTTGATAAAGCAATTAAGAAACACTTGCTTTCATACAACACCTTCCTTGACTTTAGGACAGCTCTAAGCCTATCAAGTAGTTTTGAAATACAGAAACTGTTGTAGGAAAGACAACAGTCAATACACACACAGCAATATCCCATTATCAGAAATGTAATAATGACTAGATAATTCAATTTTTAACATAATATTAGGCTAGAACATCAGGGAGAATGACTATGTTTCCATTTGAAGAAGCAGTCATAGGACCTTTTACATGTACCTTGGAGAGCAGAGAATGCATTGATTCATATCTTAGGCAAAGGATGAATTTCTGAAGGTGTAGTGTTCCTCATTACTGAACTGGGAGTATCAACCTAAATGCTTTGCTTAATTCTCTGAAATGAGACTCTCATTCGCCAGACCTTCTGATTCAAGATGGGATAGGCCAAGCTGGCACTAAATAGGGCCAATACCTTTTATATGATTCATTTTTGCCATGTGTGCATTGCTGCAAAGCCATTCTTTATTGTCCATCACTAATTTTCCTTGTGAAGTTGATGACGAGCAGGTATCTTGAACCACATAGTTTAAGCAGACACAGTTGTTTGAGGTAGAGAATTGCAGGATTTTGACCCAGCAACAATGAAGGAATTGTGATATAATTCCAAATCAAGATGCTTTACAGTTTGGAGCAGAACTTGCAAGCGCAGTATTCCCATATATCTTCTGTACTGGTCCTTCTTAATGTTAGGGGTCTTAAGTTTGGAAGGAGCCATGGCAGGTTGCTGCAATGCTCTTCCAAATAGTATATACCACTGCCCCTGTGCACCAGTTGCAAAGGGAATGAATATTTAACATGGTGGGTGGGATGCTTAATGGTGTAAATCCTTTTCAGTGTTATTCAAGCAGGTCTCATCCAGGTAAGTGGAAAGCATTCCATCATATTCCTGACGCGTGCCTCTTAGATGGTGGGCCAGTTCTGGGGCATCAAGAGCTGAGTTGGTCATTGCAGACTTTGCAGTCTCTGATTGCTCTGTAGCCACAGTACTTACATGGCTGATCCATATAGTTTCTAGTCGATGGTAACCTCTCAGAATGTTGATGTTGGAGAATTCCACCATGGTAGTGCCATTGCATATCAAGGGGAAATGGTTCAATTCTTTCTTGTTACAGATGGTCATTGCCTCATGAGGAGTTGCAACTGGTGCTGAAGACAGCACAAGTATCAGCACCATCCTCACTTCTGATCATACATCAGAGGGAAGGTCATTAATCAAGGAGCAGAAAATGATTGGGCTGAAGGCACTAGCTTGAGACACTCCCATAGTGATGTCCTGGGGCTAACCAGTAACACAACCATTTTGCTTTCATCTAAGTATGACTCCAACCAATGGGCAGTTTGTATCTGATCCCCACTGACTTCAGTTTTACTAGGGTTTCTTGATCACAGTACATCAAATGTTATCTTGGTGTCAAGGTCAGTCATCCTCCCTTTTGGTGTTCAGCTCTAATGTTCATTTTGTGCTGAGGCTACACAGGCACTGAAATCCAAACTGAACATTTATTAATGCTGAATAAATGCTGATCAGACTGTTGACAAAATCTTTGCTCATGATGAAGAATTGACTAATGGGGCAGTAATTGACCAGAATAACATACTTGGGCAATTTCATACATCGTAGTTGTGTTGGGATAGCTTGGCCATGGGTGCATTAGTCCTGGAGCAAAAGGTTTATGTTCTACCCCAAGGGTATTGTCAGGGCCCATAGCCTTTATCCCATCCAGTGCCTTCAGTTATCTCTTGATATCGCATGGTGCGAATTGAGTTGGCTAAAGAGTGGCATCTGAGATGCTGTTGGCCCCAGGAGGAGGCTAAGATGGTGAATCCAATCAGCACTTTTGGTTAAAGTTGGTTGTAAACACTTCAGCCTTGTTTTGCACCGACATGTTGGGCTCCACTATCATTGAGTACGTGGATGTCCATGCAGCGGCTACTTCCAGTTAAGTAATTCAATTGTTGACTACTATTCACAACTGGAAATGGCAGAACTGCAGAGCTTTGATGTGATTCATTGGTTGTGGCAGTTAATTTTGTGGAGGACTTTGACCTGATCCGTGAGGACATTAGTAAACTTACATCAGTGTATGGTTGGCAAATTAAGTTAATATTGGTAAATGTGAGGTAGTTTAATTTTGGAAGAATGAGTCACATATATTGTCCACTCCTTGGTCAATGGATGTCTAAAAGACCTAAAGGGGTACAAGGATTCTGCATTACAGACAGAGATCAGTGAAAGAAGCAACGTAGGTTAAAAAGGCTATTCATAGTAAAGCCAACAAAGCACTGGGGTCCATTTCAGGGAGGAAGAATAAAGCAGAGAAGTTATGTTGGACTTGTATAGAGCCCTAGTTAGACCATCGCTGATGGACGTGCACAGTTCTGGCCTTGGTATCAAAGAGGCAGTGGAAAAGATGCAAAAATAAATCACTAAAATTGCAACAGGACTGAAACCTTTTAGCTGTCCAGGAAGATTTTACAGGTTGAGGCTCTTTTCCAGAAAAAGAGATGAGGGGTGAGTTGATTGAGATTTTCAAGTAATGGGATGGTTTGGCAAGACGTAGAGAACACGCAGAGAAGTTTCCACTTAGAGCCAAGACCCACAACAGATGCCTACATATGAGATAGTCACTAATAAAGCCAATAGGGATTTCACAAGAAACGTATTTACTCATGATTCGTGAGAACGTGGATCTTTCTGATTCCGGAAGCCATTAATGAGAACAGCAAAAATACATTGAAGGAGAAGTAGATACGCGTGAGGGAGGAAAACATGAGAAGGATATGTTGATGGAGAGGGTTTGAAGAAATTTGTATGGAATATAAACAATGGTGTGAACCAGTTGGGTCATATTCAAATTTATGTACTAACAAATATCGGTAACATTTTGCGAATTCTTTGTTTCCAGTGTACAATTTCTCTCATCGAATTGACCATTTGTCGTTTGGAGCACTGAGCCCTGGATTAATCCATCCACTAGATGGCACTGAGAAAATAACACAATCAAGTGAGTCACACAGAACTACTCATTGAGATGCAGGTTTAGAGCATATTTCATTCAGGACCAATGATTTACAGTTACTGATTGGGTCAAATTCTGTTTTATTACATGAGATTTTCATTTTGAAACTTGTTTTTGAAGTAGGATTTTTAATCTGATTAGGTGAAAACTGTAAAACAGCCAGTGGCCTTGTTATATGGAGACCACATCATTTTAAAACTATAACAGATTTTTTAAAATGAGTTTTTAAATTCCAATATAAAACCATGATTTTTAGCCACTGAAAAATAATTTATCTAAATATATATATTTTAGCCAAAATTTAGCATAAAATCTTCAAGAATCATTGGCCTAAATTTCCACATTATATCATACAACTGTAAAACCAGTTTCCCTTGAATTCCTCATTGGATTTATTAGTGACTCTCATAGTTATTCTTCCCCACAATTAGAAACAATTTCTCTCTCTCTATGCTGTCAAACTCTTTTGTAATTTTAAAGAACAAAAACAGACATTGCTGGCAAAGCTCAGCAGGTCTGACAACATCTGTGGAGAGAAATCAGAATTAACGTTTCGGGTCAAGTGACCCCTCCTCAGAATTTTAAGGACTTCCATTAGGCTGAGACAAATAGATTGAAGTAGATTCCAGTATCTGAGACTTCAAGAACTAGGGATTTCAGGAGAAACCTCTTTACTAGTGAGTGAAGAATGTGGAGCTTTCCAATTCTGGGAGCCATCAATGTGAATAGCAAAAATACATTTAAGTAGAAGCAGATGATTTTAAATTCAAATTTGTAAAAGCATTTATAGGTTATGTGGAGAGACTATCAGTGAATCTCTTTTGCCCCAATGTATATTGACGTTGCAGACAAAGAAAATAAAAGGAAAACTGTTTGCATTTGTATGAACCTCTGCACAGATCTTGCACATTAAAATTCTATGTATAGCTGGCTATTTCTCTACCACTTACAAGTTGTAATAGTGACTAGTTTCCTGATTCCCCAAAATGTCACTGTTTGTTTCACTGAACAAATCTTGGAACAGAATATAATGTTGAGGGTAATGCTATATTTATATAGAGCCTGGGTTACACCACATTTAGAGAACAGCACAAAAAGAAACTGTGACAAAAGAAAAGCTCAAATTTTATACTGTGCTGGTCATGACCACAAGACATCTCAAAGCGATTTACAGCCAACAAAACACTTTTAAAATGCCGTCACTAACAGAAGAAAAACATTCCTCTGCCTAAAAATCCTTTCAAGACCTCAGGATCTTGCAAAATATTTTATACCCAACCAATGTAATGAAATGCAGAATTCCAAGCCCACACATTCCAAGGATTTTGAAGTTTATTCAGTGTCATAAAATAGGAAATGCAGCAAACAATTCACGCACAACAAGCTCCCATAGACAGCAATGATGCAATAATTTGTTTTGTGATGGTGATTGAGGAACAAAATATTGGTTAGGTCACCAGGAAGAATGCCTTCATTCTTCTTTTTAAATAGTAGCGTGGGATCTTTTACATCCACCTGAAAGGGTACACAGGGGCTCAATTAACATTTTGTCTGAAAGATGTACTTCCAACACTCTGTTACTGGAGTGTCAGCCTTGAATATTGTGCTTAAGTCACTGGAGTGGGACATGAGCTTACAAGCTTCTGATTCAGAGGCAAGATTGTTGCTCACTGAGTCATGGTTGACCCTGTAAGTGCTAGAGAAACCTTCACTCATGCCTAACCTTTAAACTTGACTATTCCAATGTTCTCCTGGGCAGCTTCCTATCTTCTAACATCCAAAAACTCTGCTATACATAAAGTATACCAACTTTCATTCTCCAATCATGTCTCTGTTCATTGACCTATATTGGCCCCAGCATAAGCAATGTCTTGATTTTAAAACTCTCACTTTTCAAATCCCCCCATGACCTCATCCCTCCCTACGGTTGCAGTCATTTCCAGCCCAGGACCTTGTGAGATGCCTGCACACATCTAATTCTGCGCTCTTTAGCCAACTCAATTTTAATCACTCTGCCTCTGTTGACCATGCCATCTGCTGGCCCTAAGATCTGGAACTTCCTCTCTACTTTTCTATCTCTCCCCATCAGCCCCCACCACAACCCTCATCAGTCACTCAGTTGGCTGAACAGCAGATTTGTGTTGCAGAGTGATACCAACAATGTGTGTTCAATTCACTCACTGGCTGCAGTTACCACAAAGAACACTCCTTCTCAACCTTTCCCCTTGCCTGAGGTGGGGTCATCCTCAGGTTGAAACATCACCAGTCATATCTCTCTAATGATAGAGCAGCTCTATTGTTCAGTGGGATTATGATGACTTTACCTTTATCAGGTAACCAGTCAGTCTTCTGATTTCCAGAGGGAATGAGCCCCAGCCTGTTCAGCCCTTCTCATTTCAAATATGCTTGTGACATTCTTTACTCATTCACCAAAGCATCTGTATCCATTCTTTAACATGGAAGCCAGAATCATGCACAATACTACAGGATCTGATCTAAGCTTGAAGTGATTTTCACTAACTGTCCTGTTTTTCAATTCTATCTCTCGACATAAACACCAATGTTTTGATTATTTTTACATGGTCTGTGTCATTACTTGTTTACTTCTTTGAGCCTTGATTCCTCATGTCTTCCATCTCATTTAGGCTCTTACTTTCCAAGGATTTTGCAGTATGCTTATACTTCTGACCACAATGTGCAAACACACACACACCCAGATATATTTGCTGCTTTGTGAAATCTTTCTCTTCTCAAAATGGCTGTGTATTCTGTAATGGACCAGACCAATCCCTTCTCATGTATATCATGGAGATAGCTTAGACCCTAACTTTTACCTTATTTAAAGGTAAGTGTAAGGTGCTGAGCTCTAGATGTAATTTGATTTGTCAAGCGATTCGGCTTTAAGCAAAACACACTTTATCCTCATTCCCGGACAAAATACAAACAAAAGAAAGAGGAATTGGTATAACTTTAACTCTATTGGAAAACTTAACAGGATAATAAATTAATTAACTACTAAACAGCAACTGTTCCAATATAGTAATATCTCACAAACACACCTTTGGCAAAGGCAAATTCAGTAAAATAGATCGCCTCATATGTGATGTTTCTCCAGTCCAGGAAAAAAGAACACCAAGAGAAAACACTGGTACAGAAAGAGAACTCTAGCTTTCTGCTGTACATTGAAGGAGAGATGCATAACAGCTTTCACAATCAACTTCAAAACCCCAACGACTGCTGAAAGCTAAACGAAAACCCTGGTTCTGTGGCAGTCTAACTCCACCCATTGATGCTGCTTCTATTGTTCTAACTTTAGAAAAATAACCCAGGGCCTCACAAATGGTTTACCTAATTGGCTCAGAAGAGACAACTCAGGACCTCTGGCTGAAAGCCTCTCTTCAGAAAAAAAGGACAAAATACGCCTTTTAAAGCCATAGTATTGTCACAATTTGTCATTACAGTTATCAACAGTGTTTCACAAGTGAGCCAGTGGCTATAAAGGATTCTGGAACAGCCTAAGCCTGTAGTAACCTTCCTAAATAAAATTCCAATTTTGTTTGTCAGTCAGGTGCTCATTAACCTGATGATCTTTCCTACAATTTCTTCTTTCGATTTAAATTGTAAATTGCCAGAATGTGCTTGTTTTCTTTGACTCTAATCCACAGTGTCCAATGTCGCCTTCGCCTTTTTTGCAGATATGCACATGTTTCAATATTTCCTCGTCGTGGTACCCACTGAAATAAACACTTTCAAGTTCTCCACAAACACTCATCAGTATTCAGTCACGGAGCAGGTGAGCAAATCAGTTTCAGAGTCTAGCACCTCACAAAGTGGCTATGCTGAGTCCTTTTCTTTCACTCATAGAACGTGGACAGCATTTATTGCCTGTCCCTTGTTGTCCTTGAGAAGATGGTGGTGAGTTGTCTTCTTGAACCACTGCAGTCTATGTATTGTAGGGAATTCTAGGATTTTGACCCAACATCACTGAAGAATGTTGATATGTTTCGAAGTCAGGATGGTGATTTGCACAAATCCTGGTTATTTGTCAAAAGGAATAGCAGTTCAGTTTAATTCATAGTCAAAACAATTAAACTGAATGCAATGGCACAGCTCTATAAAGCATTAGGACTGAGAGTGAAAACCAATACAAGAGTTGAAGGCAGAGTGTTATCAAGGTAGGATCTATCACACAGCTTCTCTCCAGCAAATCCACCAATTACCAGTTCGCCACTACCCCATCAAATGGATCATGAATGCAACCATAGACAATTTGAACCAAATGGCCTATTCTATGCTATGGATTTCAATGTCTATCCCTTGACTATGCACCATGTTTATCCTTTGTCATGCTCACTCCCTGGTTCAAGGAATGTTGTAGATACTTCAGAGACTCTGTAGTTCCTGTGTTCAGTGTGTATAATAATTCCTCCATCCTGTGTTCTTTGCAATTCTTTGCATTATTCACTGTCCCACGATTAACCGGAAAACCATTAGAAAATACCACCTCATCAAGTGGTGCTACTTACTGAAGCTTTCTGTATATAAAAAGTTAGTATGCAGTTAGGCTGCTGACAGGGGTAGCTAAGCATCCTTGGATATGCCCTGGCTTTTTGCATAAAATATTAATTAAATGTACAGATGCATTCTCACTTGATATCAAGGGAACAAATACTGACAAGCCTTCTAATAGAACGTAAGTGAAAATTGATTTCATGCCTGGCTTTATGATTTATTTTTATGGCTCTTTAAATCATAATTATTTAACAACCCAAACTGAGAAATGCTGCAAAGGGATCTAGAGTTAGAGATCCATAAATCATTAAGAGTAACAGAGCGGGTTAACAAAGCTGTAGGAAGTGCATAGCACTCAGATTAACTTCTAGAGTGTGTTGAAAGGTGAGATGAAGAGGGCTGGAAGAATGCTTGTGTAAAGCATAAACACTGACGTGGAAGAGTTGAACCTGAATTACCTGTTTATGCGTTGGGAATTATATGCCACACTGTCAGAGGTGATGCCTATTGAATGACACAAGCTGATTTCCTGTCTACCTTATCAAATGGATGTAAAGGATCCCACAGGCTAATTTGAAGAAAAGCATAAGAATTCTTCCCAGTTTCCTTGGTCAATATTTATGCCCCAATCTATATCACTTAAACAGGACATCTGGCACTGTACGCATCACATTGGCTGGCTGTGGGAATTTACACTGTGTAAATTGGTTGCTGTGTTTCTTGATGTGGAGGTACCAGTGATAGTAGGAACTGCAGATGCTGGAGAATCCGAGACAACAAGGTGCAGGGCTGGATGAACACAGCAGGCCAAGCAGCATCATAGGAGCAGAGAGGCTGACGTTTCGGGCCTAGACCCTTCA